ATATTCTCCTCTTAAACATTTCCATCAATGTCCACTAGTCACACCAAGCAGATTAATTTTTCCTATCAAAATATCTTCTTACATCAAAAATATGCTCCGCATCAAGTACCCGGAGTACTATCTACATTGTTAAAAATCCGGGTACTTTAGTCAGAGAGACACGGTATTCCCCGATTATGTAATATCTACATTAAAGCTGAATAGACACATACTGTTTGGACTATACTTGTGCCCGCCACATTTTTTTGATTACCTTTGAAAATTCAATAATAGCTAAATTAAATAATTTTTCAATCTTATTATGGAGATATTGACACTTTATTAGGTATCTTTATAACAATAACACAATAATACGATAGAATTGTTTGTCATACTAATGTTATTATTATACCTCCAGATGAATAAAAAATTTTATTTCAATCTCAAAAACGCTTACCAGTCGTTTCATCGTTTTAGCTTGACAGATTTTTATTAGATATCTTTGAAGTAGCCAAATGACACCGAGGATGTCATTCCAGACGGGATTTGTGTTTATTATATTTTTCTTACACAAGTGTAATACGATAATGTGGTACATGTGTGTCATTATCAAATGCAGCGTTACCCGAAAAAAATAATGAAGGTTCTCGCGCAACTTATTGAGCATTTCAGTATAAAATTAAGCCTAATGTAAAAAATCGCCAAATTTAGGGCAGGAAGGTTATTGGTGATATCATTAATGTCAAGTGAACTTAAGGGGGTGGCGTTGGAAAAAATAAAACCCGATGCCGTATCTAAGATTCGATTCTTTGGCTTGGAAAATTCCCTGTTTACTAACATATATTCATGGCAAATCTAGCTTATTTAATTCTAATTTAAATATATCGTATTTCTTATTTAAAAAACGCATACACCGTAGCCACCGAGCTGTATATGAGTTGTTGCCATTAACAAGACCATTGATACATATTTATTGGCTATATATATTCGTCCGTCGACCAATTTGTTTGATCTAATCTACTAGTGAAACAATACTTGCAGCAGTATAGTTTTGTTGCAAGTATTATACGACAAGTATATGCTTTACATTCGTAACACATACGGATGTTAAGACTAGCGGGCGATTATGAATATTAAATGCCTATATAAATATTGTGATTGGAGGGAGATAACATGTTACACACATCGCGGCTGTCATGGAACTGTCATTAAATCATCAAGCAATAAAAAATTTGTAATTAATACGAAAAAAAAGGCACTAATATCAATAATTGAGTAAAATTGACAGTAATAATTGACGGTAGTTACTTTTAGATAGTACCTAAATATGCACGTAGATAGTTATGCCCTTCATTAGTCATACCCATAACTGGGTTTACCTGGAGATTGGATCAAGAAAGTAAATAATTTAATGTTGTCCGACAAGAAACATTACAGCGAGAAATTAACGGTAATCCTTCGTCATTATATGCATACATACCTTGGCCTGTACTCAATTAAAGGCTTGATAAACCATCGGTAATAATCGAATTCCATAACGAATTCTATTGTTGACATTTGCTATTTGTCTCTTGACGAGCATAAAAGCTGCAAATTTAATTAATTTATCTCTTATTGCCAAGCAGCGTATCAGCCACTACTGTGACGTTTGAGTTACGAATGGACTATCAGTAATTAATATAATTAAGTGCCGATTGTTAGAAAGTATGAGAAAAAAAAACAAAGATAATGGTAATTATTAACTGTTTGGTATGTTGATTTTCCATATCGGGACAGTTCCTTGATTTTGGCGTACAACATTGGACATGAGTTTTATAATTAAAACGTTGAAACTGCCAATGATGATGGTTAAGCAGAGCTTTGTGCGCTTGCGGATTGTTTGGATTAAAGATCTCTGCATCAATATTAATACATTTGAATTAATATGCAACTAGCGTTATATCTATTACTTGGCCAATACTTCTTGCTTTTTATAGTTAGCTTACAGTTTTGCCACACTCCAATCGTAATTTTGTTTTCCTTTTGTTCGATTGTCCTTACACATTATCTTAGTGGTAAGAAATACGCTGTCTTACTTGAATGTTGTTGCTCACATAATCCTTAAATGAAACGTATACAAGATAGGGTTTCGTCTGAACGCTATTATATCGACTGTGTATATTACACTTGCCAGATAGGGTATTAACTGCCTAATTTGGATGTTGGATATCTCAATTGATAAACGTTACAACATCGACCGAGATCAAATAGATAATAGCGTAATCAAATACATTAGTGTAATGTTTATAACAATGAATGTGTGATCGACATTCCACTACCATACCTCCTTTGTGTATTACCTTCGCACTTTGCCTTCGCACTTTGCCCTTCTACCGACCTTTGCCCCTGCGCATTTACTCTTTGTAATTCTATTACATACGTATACAATGTATGCGCGTATGTGTATGTATTATAGTATGTATGATATCTTGTATTGAAGCAGGTATTTTTTTTCCCTTCGTTTAAGTATACAATAACATCGTATATTTTATCTCATCGAACTTTTCAATGACCGCCTGTACAACATCAGCTGCATGTCTGATTAGCTACCTTGGTCAATCCGTAAATCTTACGTATTGTAAGCATAAAGTGCACATTTTCTTATAGGTGTATCACATTAAAAAATCTACTAAAAAAAAAAGGGTTTAATGAAAAGAAAACAAATGGTTACAAACATTCACCAAAAAGGGCAAAACTTGCTTGGCCAATGACGGGTCAGAAATACCTGCTAAAAATGATCCGCAACACGGAATATCAGAATAAAAGAATATCGGAATAAAAAGATATTAATTGATTGTAAAATAGATAATAATTTTATAAATATCGGAGCGTGTTAAAATTTTTCCCATACATAAAAAAGAAATAAGATATATACCGTAATCTATCTATATATATAATAAGTCTTTAAACATATTATATGAGATCGTCAGCCTCTATCCACATAGCCGAGACACCAGTAATATTGACCGAACTAGTCAAATTACATGCAGGAGAACGAGACACACGGTCGTAGCCAGTGTCATTGTATGTATGTCATTGTATGTATGTTTGTTCTTGTCTTCATAACTTTTGATTTAAATTTTCTTTACTTACCGTTTTACATATATATTCATTACTTTACTTAATTCGTTCTTTTCTGTATAATACTATTAGATTAAACTTCATTCATTAAACTACAACGATAATTGTCAAATCATATACTCGAATTTACCACACCTAGTCTCTATCATGCCCTCTCTTCTGCCAACAGAATGCCTTACTTGTATCTTTGCAGAATTAGAATCCCACAAATCATCTATATACTCGTGCATTAGAGTAAATAGAGAATGGTGTAATGCAGCCACACCTTTTCTATGGAAGAATCCATTCTGTTTGACGAGTAAACATCGATCTGATGTTCCGTTTACAATCAAAAAAAACATGCCTATCGATGCATACTTGCCCTTTCTCTCTGATTCTGCCAAAGCTCGATTGAGATTAAACAACGTCCCTACTGGACTCGAATCTCCCGTTTTACCGGCATTCAACTATCCATCATACTTACGAGTATTAGATATGGATGAATTTTATGACGAGATCACAAAATGGGTCGCCAATAAAAGGCTTGCGCAGGCAACTCAATTCGATACAAACTCATATGCGATATCACAACAGGCAGCCTCAGAAGACGGTTTTGGCGACTATTTATCCGACATTGACGACGACGACGACGACAACTGTGACGACTACGACAATTATGACGACGACGACGACGACGACGATGATGACTTCATCGCTTGTAGCGATGAAATACAAAAAATTCTTATAGCGCAAGAATTACTATTCCTATTCTCAGACTCGTCACCCAAATTATATCGTCTCTCTATTGACACACGTCGTCTGGGTAAAATATGGTGTGACATGGTAGTGAGCATCCTATCACCCGAGATATCCTCAACCGACACTCACCACCCCGTACCCATCCCGTCGTGTTTTTCTCACATTGAACAATTCGAATTCAAAGGCGAGGGCGACGAGACTGACGACGAATTCGAAGATATGCTACTGGCCATTTCTCAATTTAGCAAAAACGTTAAAATACTCAAAATAGCATCCTGTTCGCGATGCCTACTTCAACCGTTGGTCGATTTAATTGAATCACAACAAGGCATCAGTGAATTGATGCTAAATAATATTCGCATAGTGGGTACATCAATATTCGAGGCTATTGCCCGTCACAAAAAGACATTGACACATGCTGAATTTCATCGGTGTACTTTCATTGATTGTAAACCAATGACTGCTCTTGCGAGTTGCACCAAGTTAGAAAGTCTTATATTCGCAAGGAGTGGTGTCAGTGGAGAGTTACTTGCACCATTGGGATCTCCGTCGTCATCTATCACTCAGCTGAGTAGACTGGTGTTGTTGGATATATATCCATCTAACGGTGACGAGGCAGAATGGATCAACCTTGCTCAACAAGTCAACGCTATTTTGCGTCGTACTGGAAAGACGATCCGTGAACTGCGCACAAATCTTCATTTAACTTACTTTCCCCATTTTGTCGATACAATAATATCCGACTGTCCTAATCTGCTTATAATAGAAATGGACATTCAAAACATAGCTCAGATACCGGGTATAGTCAAGCTCTTACGAAGCTGTAAGCATCTTCAGACGTTCCGAGTATCCATCGACGGTTATACTCATAGTAACTATACAGTTGCTGATGATTTAATCCACGAGTTTGCCCAAATAATTTTACCTTCTCTTCGTCGTTTGGAGGTGCGAAAATGGAAAATCTCTAAGCAAGGTTTATTATTTAAGTGTTTGATAAGCATGAAAGCTCCAGTGAGATACCTTTCATGATAAGTATCTGTTAAAGAGAACCTAACCAAAACTAATGTTTAATAAGACACGTAAACAAAAGTTTCGCTAATAGTAAATGTAAATTTATCATGTATACATAATTGCATTCTGTGTAGGGCTAGTACTTACATAACTATAAGATATCCCATTCTCCTCTAAGCATTCATTCCTATGTATGAAACAAAAAAAGCATTATGTCAGAACTCGTGCTCATCACGTTAAATATAGCATTAAAGCATTCTGCATGCAGTCTTTGCATGCTTTTGTCAAATTATTGGAAGAATTTTTAATGCGAAGAGTCCTGAAAATGCGCGAAAGGTAGCTTTTATTTTTGGATTGAAAAATGAGATTTCTCAGTTGAAAAGTTTGAACTATGAAAGGAACTATTTGGCGATTTATGACAACAAGTCACGCTGATTAGTTTATTATGCATTCTTTGATCAATAAAAAGCTCAATTACTCTATCCTACTATACTCATTATTGAGTCTTCTTTTCTGATGTAATTTTCTTAGCCCCTTCACCTACTTGTCCATACTCATTAGCTCTAGTTTCATCCACTGGGTATATCCATCTTTGATATATGTATACGAAAAAGACTACATCGTCTCTCAAACATGCTAATCTATGTAACGTTGGCATTTTAATACAAAAGGCAAATAAATCATCAACGAATGTACCCAACGTTTTGTACATGAGAGTTTTCCACGGCATGTGAGCCACCTGTAACGTATTAAATGGTGACGGAGTTAGACAATCACTTTGCATAATCATAAAGCGGTCAGTGCTATAAACCGAAATGTACGTACACTCTTCAGTTTGTAATTAATAAATAATTGAGGAGTCATCATTATAAATCCAAATGCGTACACGAATCCGACAAGAGTTGTCAATATGAACGAATACCAGCTCTTGTGAGTGTTGTATATCAAACTGTAGACAGCATACCCCGCGAGTAGAGGATACGCCGCCCATGATAAGTACTTAAAGGCAAGTCGATCATATTCTTTTGTCTTCTGTTCACTCTCAGACAGCTTGTGCTTATCAACGAGTCGTACCGAGTAACGATACCACTTGGTCGGCGCTGCTTTAATCTATGGAAATTGAATGATGTAGAATATTGGCTTCTGAGAAAAATAATGTTTCGTCATTTTTATACGTTCATTCCGTTAAAGCTTACCTCAACGTCTACAGCTTTCTTGACCTTCCAAACCTCAATAGCTAATCCTATACCCTGTCCAATTAAAATCATCCAACTTGTATCTCGATTGTTGTCCATAAGGTACAGGAAGATGACTAATTGGAAAAATATGTTGAGAAATATAGTGCGCACAGACACACCGGTCATTTCTTTTATATCTTTCCAATGAGCAATATCTATAAACCAAACGCAGCTCTTTAATAAAAGTTTGGAACAAACGGAAACGTGGAACATAATATACAGACCATTCTTAAATGCCAAAAACTCAAATACGCTGTGTAGTATAGACACAATCATAGTGACACCCAATAATATTGGACTTGTTTCCGAAAACATTCTCTTGATTTCATCAAATTCAGCATGTGCATCACCGCCAATAAACCCAGCTTGTATGCGGAATGATTCTTCCATTTGAATGTAAAGTTGAAATTTGAAAAAACTGATTGGATAATATTTTATATTTAACGGAAGTGTTCTAAAGTGCAGAAATTTTGTGTTAATGTCCAGCGGATTTTAAAGCCTTCTAGAAAACAAGTCAAAGTCAGCAAACGAAGAAGAAAAAAAAGTACTTTTACGGCTTACTTTACGGTCTCATTAATTGGCATCATTTGTTCTCTTAGTAGCCAGAAGTCGTTAACTAATACAACAGGCAGATAATACCCTGTTCTCCCAGAGGGATCAGTCATCCCGGTACTCTCCAATGGTATTAATGATGAAATGTGAGAAGGTATAGATGCGTAGGGAATGATCGTTGAATCGGATACAATATTGATTGTCAAATTTTGATGCCAATGGGAAATTATTGGAGTATCCTTATCGGAAGACTATAAGAAAGGAGCGCAATATCAGTATAATGTTCATCCCTTGTATGATCCAACTACGGGGACTGATATATAAATGCAGCGACATAACCTCCGTGTCGTCCACATCCTTTTCCTCCGCTTCTTCCGATTCACCACCACTTAAAAGTTTTCGTGTTTTAACCTCTTTACGCTTAGGATAATATCTTGTTAACACTACAAAATGGATAAGCAGTTTGAGATTATGATTCTAAAATGTCGCATTATATGGTAAAATGCAGCATAACAAAATTTAAATTTAACTGTTTACATTTCCGTTGATACACTCTCATGTCAGGCTGAAATCCCGGATCTAACGGATTAGGTGATGCTCGATTAAGAGTAAGGTAAACATGAGCATACAAGGTGCCATTCCGTCTAACATTCTAAATGCAATATGTGCACTATTCAGCATCGTGACGCCAATCCACAAAATGCACAACGCGCTGCTTACTTAGTCAACACGACTCACCGCTGATGTCTGCAACTCCAAGGCCGTCTCTTTCTCATTATCCCAATCCCCCAGGCGAATATGACTAACATGCCAAACGAGAAACTTTGGATCATTAAAGTTCATGAATTCCTCATCTTCCGAGATGTAAACGCGAAGATCCTACAATAGCAGTAGACATATTTAATTCAAGCGTTAAATGTCGTGTTAGTACGATGAATGGGGGATAAATGCAAACTAACCATACTAGAATCGCTTGGCCATAATGGAGCAGCATGCGTAAATTGTGAAAATTGTTTAGTTCCTTCCGTATCAGGTACGAATCCTGGTGGAGGAGTTGTCACCGGTGTTTTGGATCCTTACAACCGATACAAGTAATTCAATACCCTAACTATATCATAACAAGAACAACAAAGACAGTATATATACCATTGAACATCCATTGATAAATATAGTACATGATCATAAAACGAAATAAGAGTTGAACTATGGTGCCAATTCCAAAAGTTTGTTCGGGTTGCTGTTCTTGCTGCTGCTGCCCCTCCGGTGCTCCGTTCGGCCGGGCATTGTCATCGTTTGTTTGGCTGGGTACATCAGTTGATCGCTTCCTTGTAGAGGAATCGTTCTGACTTGACATGTCGAACGGCTGGAGAGTATGTGATCTGCGATCTCGGTAAAATTTCATTCATGTAATACGAAAACGTCATGACAGTAGTTTGCCATACAGCCATGTGATGTGGCATCTTTACCATCGGAAATTAAATTCTCTTGGGATTTAAACCGTAGCCGGAAATCCAAGCATGAATGGACAAATGAATTTCATCTATTTCGTTGTGTGTGGCCCGGGAATCAACAGAACAGGAGCGTGGCGGCGTATGTGTTAAAGTACTCTGTCAGTCATAGACATACAGATAGTAAGGTTTATGTTAACAGTCGCGACGAGAGATGGCATTACAACGTTATATCACGGATATGCTTAATAAAGTTGCTATCAAATTCGTGTTATAAATGTATATACTTTAATTCTTGCTTTATCGAAAACCAACACAACTAAAAACTTGCAATAATTAATGTGCACGATAAAAAGTCCACACACTATGATGATTCATCGAATAATAGCCTCTCAAGTCCTTCTCTCCTGGGTGCAAAACTAACTGATGGTTGGCCATTTCCTACTTGATTAGATTTTATCCCGCCATCAACAATTATGTAGCACCATATTATCCGCGAGAACGCGAGAAATAACAATGATTCGGACTGCACAAAAGAAAACGAAAAAAAAACAACGTAAGAGACATATTTCAATAACACCTCTATAGAATCGCACATCTAAAACTTACCAATTCAGCGGCAGGACACATTCTCTTTCCATATCCAAATTCAACCCTGTTTGTATCCCCTACCTCTAGGTTTCTCTCCATTTCACCTGGACTGTCCTTATCCCACTCACCACGAACACTCTCGTCCACCAATACAAGTGCACCTTTCGGTATATGGAATCCCCGATATTCATCATCGACTTCCACGTATCTTGGTGGAATGGGCAACCACGCAGGATGATTTAACAGTGCTCGTTTTATGAATGACATTGTGAAATGACATGATGGTCTGTCAGCAAGTGTGGGGAGATGAGGTAGGGATAGCTCTGTGCTTAGAACTGACTGAAAAGATGGCGTCTGGGCCAGCTGGGTTATGAGAACTGTTAGCGAGTGTGTAAGAGTGGACTTGTTTAAGGTTTAGAGACGATGACAAAGAAAGACATGAGTATATATGATAATAGGTTGGACGATATAAAAAATCAATCTTATGATATCTGACAAGTTCACTGATTCATACAAATGACATTGATTAAATACACAGGCTTCTTTCTTACTAGTACTTACCATCCCTATAACAATAAAGGATCCAAGCGTATGTACAATGTCCATAATATCGACTTCACCCTTCTCCCTTCTTCCCATCAACTCTTTTGCCAAACAATCCCTCTCCACATTCTCCTTGTTCATTTTGTAAATTAATCTAAGCACTATATCTTCCAACTTATCTCTCAATCTTATCGACTCCTTATATTTGCTACCCGGTATTCCAAAACGCAATCCCAAATCCTCAAAGCTTCGTTTTAAATTAGGTAATTCTACCCCTGCCCTACTAGTATTTTCAATCTTTTCATAATATCTGATATATTCATTTATCAGGTTGCTTATCCGTTGGTAAGTTCGATCGTCGACGCTGGTTGGTGAAGAGATGCCGAAGACATGAGAGAGGAGAGACGATATCGCGAAGAGACGTAAATGTGGGGTCGGATCACATGGCACGCGGAGAGAAAAGAGAGATTTGAGAAGTTTGACTGTAAGCGGGTCGAGCGTTGAGGGAAGTAAAGGGTGCTTGACTAGGAGAGGTGTGGCTGGCGGGTTGCCATTGTATAAATCGGAATAGATTAGTATTCGGTAAAGAGTTAACTATGATCAGAGTATTCATCATTTACCTGTTAATTTAATTTTCTGGTAACAAGCATTATACGGTAGGATAGCATAATTTCTCCTTCGTTCAATAACATCCGAAATATAATAATTCGGTCTTCTTGAAGAATACTTGGTTGCTCCTTTCAATTATGATATAATAAGTACATGTCGACAAGTCTCTCCATAACTATAATGATACGTGATCCCATACTTTTCTGTAGCAATTCATCAACCGCTTTCGCGCTCGCCAGAACCACACATGGTTGTGATTTGACATAGATCATGTATACATCTCCAAGAGATGTCCTCCATTCGATCAATCTGATGCAGAACGATAAAGTAACTGTCACAAACATTTTTTATGGCTGACGTTCCGTGCTTGCAATCTACTATTAAAGTATGTCTTACTTTTCTCGAGATATCCTATCGACTGTACAAGCGTGTCCATTAAGATAACCTTTCCCACTAGGCACAGGTAGTCTCTTGATGCCGTTTGTTACATATCCACTTTTCCTCCATCGCCACCATTGCCAGGCAACAATTCCAATTAATGTATAAAAGCTAATTGTATACGAATTCCACTCGAAAGCCATTCTTGTTCTGATGAGAGGACAGTCGACGAAAATACACACGCACGCTTTTTACTTTTATGCTTACCATAACCAATCCACTAGGCTATATCAAGTAATAACGTATTATAACTGAGTAACAATACCGGAAATTTAATTTGACATTTTAGGAATTGTCTCGTGGATTTTGCTAAGAAATCATATGAGATTTGCATACCATTAAGGAGTACATGAATGCGGGGGAGGAAAAGAGATTATAATAAGCGGGGATGATAATTTTTTCCAGGGAACTGTCGCTACCTCACGGGTCATCCGTAGCACTCGTCTGCTACCATGATCTTGGGAAAAGTAGCTATAAATCAACTTCATTCTACCTAACGTCTTCACATCCAGCTTTCATCTACAAGTCAAGGGATGCAAATACGTTAGGAGATAATCAACTTTCAATAAAGCAGGCGAATGGAATGCATTGAGAGATTTAATTAAGTAATGGGATTATGGGATTATGTCGCACGAATCTGATAATCTTGCATATTTATGCTAATTGCCAATCTTTGAAAAAACGGCTAGATTTCATCAACGTGCAACATGCATAATATGGAACGACAATGTAAAATACTATCATTTGCGATCACACATCCTACCATATTGGTATGTAAATGTTTGTGGGTCTCGCGTCTCGTTGATTTTTTTTTCTCAGAAATAATTTGTAGCAAGCAGAATGTCTTTACTTTAAAGCTTACTAACCTGTGATCAGAGATAAACTTATGCTTATCTGATGTTCTTGTGTTATTACTATCAGAGCAAATTTGTATATTTGAAAGCGATAATCTCTATTTAACTAGACAGCATGAAAAAGCAACAGGAATGTCAAATATGTTCAGAAGTCTGTTTTAATTGAGAGCACGTTACCTGATTTATCACTTCCATGAGCACACGCTAAACTTTGCCATCGTCAGGTCAGCTTTTGTGTGGCCAAAATTGAAAAATAGAGCAATCTGCTGCTGTCGAATACACAAAGGAGAGCGTCGTATATTGATCTTGAAATTTAGCGTTTTAAACAAGACCATTGGCTACCTCTGCCCGAACCTATAGACAACGATTGTGACCTCAAGTTAAGTTACTCACGAGGCCAGATCGGTCCTGTATAGGCTATCCATAGACTATCATTTAACCTCAAGCACTTAATCCATTTCTTCCGACGAGATTAGTTTTGAAACCTATACGGAATTAAATTCGTTGGAATCTTTGGCATTCAGATTATTATTTAATTAAGCAATAAATTTCACGGTCTACATTAGTAATATAGTTCGACAGTTTTATAGTCTATTCTGCTTGCAAGTAATTTATCAAATTAGTTACTGAAACAAAGGTAAGCTAATTTTTGCTAAGAAAATTACGACTACTTACATCGGGTTTAATAGTAATTGAAATTTCTCCGCCGTCATATCTCCGGCCAATGACACATCGAAATTAGCAGTATAACAAAACTGCAAATATATTACATACACATGCGGGACAAAATTATCAGCTTTTAAACGGTTATTCTGCCATTTGACAACATATTATTTCGAAGAGGCAAAAGAATGGTTTAGTGTCATAGATTATCTTGACCCAGTTCGAGACTTCAAATCCATTCTTTGGTTGAGAGATGTCTCCGTTTATCCAAATGTTTTTGTCTGCTATCTAATTCAATGAAACGACAGACGGATATATAAGCAGTCTTAGTTCCGTATCAGCCGCAAACGAAGTCAATATTGCCATCAATTTCATAGATTTATTGCATACACTCTTTGGTTACCAAACACCATTAACGACGACGACGATAATTACATCGAAAAAATTCTATTATTATTATTTATTTCTTGTAGAGAAATTCCCCCGATCTACAATTTTTCGGAATTGAATAAAATAGACGTATAAATCGAAGTTAAATAATAAGCTAAGTATGTCGCATACAAGACCAATCTAACTTCGTGAGTATTTGAGATCTGTCCTAATATTACTAGAGTATTTAAAGCCTCGTTCGAAAACCAAGTCTTAGGATTAAGATGGGATTAAACCAGATTCTTCGACGCAACGAGCATAAATATTTATTTTGAATGATGGTTTTTACCTAAAAATCTCTTGCCTTTTATGTTTATTTTTATTATCGTTTATTTTATCTTATATCAAATATTATAAAATAAGGTTTATCAAATTTTGATAAGTCGATCTACCACGTCGGTCACCGTAATCGACTTATCGAGTTTGCGTGTTGAACTGGTATTGTAAGGTAAAATATGTACAATTAACTCTCCATTTTTTATTAGTTACGTGACTCAATAAAACTATTACACAGTGAACCAAGGGCACGGTTCCAACTAAAAATAAATTATGTTAATTTCTGTTATACGGTTGAAAAAAATTTTTTGTTTTTCTTTTTTCTCGAAAAAATAATTTGTCTCACTAAAATACAGCCGAGTCAAGAAAACTCGGCGGTAATATTTAATGTTGTCGACAAACACAATCTGAATAGCCGAATTATGTCCTGTCATAAAGATGTTCTTTATGGAGTTATTTATTTACTAGTAATTCCATAATACGTCTTTATGAGAAGTTTGTTTTTATAGAATAAAAAAATTTTTTATGGATTAACACTAAGTTTCAATGCTTTTGCATATAATGGGTCTTTTGAGTCATGTAACAACATCATCAATAATACGCTAATATTCACCACATTATCAAATCTTATAATTGCATAATCAACAATTTTTTTCTCATTCCGCTTGCGCGGCTCCAAAATTTTTATCATCAGCTCAATTACAGTATGTCTAATTTTATTCATCATAAGCTTTCCACGCAGGCAGACATGTGTATGTACTTTTAATTTGAACGTATTTATTTGACACTGGTGTTCAAAAAATATGACACAACGGAATTTCTTTTTAACTCATGATAGACGGGGGGTAATTACATAATTATTATAATGAAATCAATTAGGAACAAAAACAAGAAAATTCATCGTTATTACAAGCATATGTTATTAAAGTAAAAGCATTTTTCAGCTATATTACATGCAAAATTATATGTACACTGTGTCTTCATTTTTTTATTTTATGACATTTATTATAACTACATACATTATGAAATAGTCAGCTGTCATCTCTTTAAAACAATGACGTATTAGTATTCTGACGAAAAAAAAAATTTTTTTGCACACTTATAATAAAAGTAAAGACGTTTATTGAGAAAAGTTTGGGCCAGCAACACACTTTTATTGAAATATGTGGTGTAAAACTAAATTATTAGAAAAAGAGAATAACAAATTAAAGAAAAAAAAATTTTTTTACAAATTCTTACTGACAATAAAATTGTGAAAGTAAAGAAGCAAAAACTAGATACATACAAAAATGAGTACAGTAATATGAAGAAAAAAAAGAAAAACATTATCAGAACAGTTCAAGAAGGATGCATAAAACTAGATAAAGAAGAGTACATATGTACTCCCCACAATTTATCCAATTGGTTACTGAACTCAGTAACACAAGTGTTATTTCAAATTCATCAACCGTGAATTGCAAGGAAGTTACAGTATATACCTTTCTAACAGGAATAAATGGACTTTAAATGACACATTTCACATTGAAATCAAGGCATGGCAAGATTGTTTGACTGGAAAACTTAGACGCTGACAGAGAATCACCATTTTGTACACATTAGTATGGAGTAATAGCAGATGAGGAGAAAAAAATTTTATTTTGTATTTCTTACTAGAATAATAAAGAGAAAAAACTGATACTGATATTGGCAAGCATAAAAGATATAGATCAGTGTACTAAGTTTAAGGTTGCAAATGTTATTATTTAGGCATGTAATGAACATAATTTGAATCAAAAATGTAGCTTTCAACTCACTGATTATGCTAGTCACATAGTACTGCTGCTCAATTCAATCATCAATTGTAAAACAACTTATAAACAGTGACAGAGATGGTTTTATGAGTATAAAGTCAAGCATAATTAAGAGCTTGTACTGGACTCTACTAAAATATAATCTAACATATCAAAACCTATCTCTACTTGATGACTATATCAACTCCAAACAGGTAAACAGTATTTAGATCATAGAGACTTTCATCTTCTACTTCAGTTCATATCTTGGTTAATTCCTGCAAACAACACCTGACGTATGACGATCAATTAATTAGATGTTACTCAAAGTAAACGCGAGTGACGCGATTTTGGTGACGGCGTGGAAAAGATAGAAAGTACGCGCTCTGTGGCGTAGAAAAAGTAACACGATTCTAGTAACAGCAAAATGTATATAAGGAGCCGTTCCGACCATCAAAAATTCTCATGTTATGGTACGTTTAATGAAAAATAAATATATTTGATACTGAAGTATTCGGATATAATAACGATCGATCTGATCTTTATCCTTTAATTATCACAAACCTTTTTACTTTCATTATTTCTATTTCTATCGTCGTGAAAACTAAGCTTTTGACTTAACTATCGGCAGCAGATCGGTATCCGACCCGTAGCTGTATTTAAACGTTAGTTGTCAGCACAATAGATCGGTAACGACCCGTAGCAAAAGTATCTCGATTGAAAATTTAAATTTTTTGTTGTTATAATTAGATAAGTGACATTCCTTGACTAGTCAAAACACTAAATCGAAGTTCGCCCTTGTTTAAAATTAGTATAAAAATTTCCCCTTCAATTCCGCGGTAAATAAATTGTTGTTGTATATTTATGGTGGGTACCCTTATTTAGATACGAGTATAGGAGAAATACATCGTATAGGGATTGAAAGATGAAGCGCGCATATAAATATTTATTGTCACTTGCAGTTTAGTTCAGCCTTAAGTGAGCAATCGTTGTAGTAAGGGCAGCGACAAGAGCTAAATTTAAATTGTGAAAACCCCCTCTCGGCAAAACACACCTACGCTCTCCCAACCCTATTTTGGACGCCGACCGTAACAGTCCAGTCATATTCACAAAATGCCAGTTTTCCATCTGACTCCCTCATTTTTGTGGGTCGATGCATAGTCTTGCAAAATCTCTAGTCATCACTTTCTTTGAACACGCTTGATGCTGTCTGTAGAGCTTTGACACAATTCTAAATGTATCACAGTAGGTAGTTAATGAGATAGTAATAGTGCATGTAAACGGAAAGTCGATATCACAAACAAGATCATATTAATATACCTTCAAGTGAAATGAGAAATATCAAAGTGGGGAGGGGGGAAACACGAATTAATGGTCAATGTCACACTAACATTCCTTTAGATGCAGCAACAAAACAGCACAATCTCTTGAAAGGTTAAATGTTCCCAGATGGAGCAGATGGATTAGATGGATAATAGCACCCCCATGGGAAAAAAGGCATAGGTAAGTCAGTGTATCTGAAGCAGGCTTGCCATGTACACTATTACTATGCTATGTTATATGTCCCCAACACCCAAGTCACATAGTCATTACCTGTCTTAGTCTGCTTGAGATGAAGTTCATCAAGCTCTAGCTTTTTTTTCTCAAGTTCCAGTTGCCAAGTTTCATTGAGATCTTGAGGTGATAGTGAGGCGTTCAGTATAGTCTCATTATACTTCTAGCAATTGTGAAGAAATTCATTGTAAAGACTGTTTAGATGGGAAGATGCACTACATGCAATTGATCCAATTACCAATACATAATAATAATACATTAATGTATAATACCTTAATTGGGGCAGACCTGACAAAGTGAACATATTTAATTTTGTTAAAATGGCTGATGTGGCTGAGAGAAACTGTTCTCAAATTTATTTACCATGGCAACTCAACTATTTGCAAAATTTATTTGTAGGTTTGCTAAGACTACTGCATATTAATATGTAAATGTGGGCCACAGTTTACACTATTAGCCAGAAATTATTAATTCATCAACAGCTTTAGCTGTGGATCATGACAAACTGTATTAATGATAGCAATTTACTGTGCATATTGATGTCCATACATACCCATATTTATTAAGAAAATTGACTAATATGGTCCTCCTTTCTGGTCTAGCATTTGGCTGATGCTTTTTTTTAGCTTTATTATTATAGCTTGACTTAATAAAATCTTTGCTTTTCTGTAAGCTGGTACAGTCCTAGAAAAAATAATGGCAATCAGACTTTTTTGAATAAAAAATATTTTTACAAAGTAACTTGTCCTAAAATTTATATTTAGAATACTTGCAAATTATTATTATACTCTGAAAAAATTAATACATTGTGTGCCTTCCTTCCATCTTAATCCTCTTTGTCAACTATTGGATCTTTGAAAAGATCTGGTGGACAACTGTTGCTTCATAATTTTTAAAACTTTCTAGTAGAAAATCTTCATCCAATTCTGGTTTCAGAAACATTTCTGGGGTCTTAGTCATTGGTACCCTAATATGTTAAGAATGTTATTACTGATGTATAATAATAATGGAAGATTTTCCCATTCTTCCTCTATTACTATTAACACAATAAATATAAAAGCTTCTTTTGACACTTCTTTTTTGGTTATAACCATACTTTTGACTCTTTCTTCAACATTATGTTTAAGGACTGCCCAAACATTCTCTACAGAATTGAGGTCAGGGCCATATGAAGGTCATGACAAATTCTTCCAGGAAGATGTTCTTTGAGATCCTTTGAACATCTTTTGATGTATGTTTAGGTTCATTGTCTTGCTGAAAAAACTATGTCTATCAGCATTGAATTTTTTTGTATAGATGGCGGTCCATGTTTTCTACAAAAGTGAACATTCCGACTTTGCCATATTAATATTAACATACAGAAATGTGAACTAGAACTTTTAGTGAATGTTTTACTGTAGGGTAACTGGGGTTTGTCACGAGACCATGCAAGGCACGTGTTCCGAAACAATTGTATCTCTGGTTATTTTCTGGATTGTAAGAGTACAGTCGGAGACAATCATATCCAGGTGTGTCATAGCTAATAAAAAGACGTAAATCGGTTCGACTTTCTTCTACCATATGATCGGCAAACTAATACTTTTGGTAAGGTTTTGCGGTGATCATTTGATCACCTTAACCTTGTCCGTAATAGTGATGGAATCGATTTATAAAGGTCTCGTCGATTACTTAGTGAGTAGTCTCGAACGGTAAAATCAGAACAAATGCGCCCGAATTGACTTACTCCTACTCGAGATTACATATATTACATGCCATTTGTTCTATATCAACAGCCATCCAGCTCACCGGAGATTTCTCCTCGCAATTGCTGGAATACCAGGTAATTATCTGTAATCACAACTTCATACACGCAGGATACTTTTCTTTCTGAATCAGCATTGTTCAATCAGGATCGGGCAAATCAACGTTAGCGGAGAACATGGTGAATGGAGTCAATAATGCTTTTGGGCGTGAAATAGCTGTACTCGTTCCAATGGATGGATTCCATTATACTAAAAAGGAATTGGAAGGGTTTGATGTGGGTTGCATTGAACGATGAACTTGTGATTTCGCTTCATTACAAGCAATGGAAAATAATCGCGTTCTTTGCTCGATCGATCGATCGTAAAGGATCCGGAAGAAGCACGTAGGCGCAGAGGAGCGCATTGGACGTTCAACGCCCAAGGTTACTACGCTTGATATGATTTATTTATTGCGTGTTAGCATGTAGTACTAACTATATCTGGGTCATGCAGGTTTACTGTCCCTAGTTACTTTGTTACGTGAAGATATCACCGATACTCCCATCTTGGCTCCATCGTTTCTTCATGGCGTTGGTGATCCGAAAGAAGACGATATACAAGTGTCTACGACGTATGTAGTATCTCGCGACTTGACACCCGTGTCCCCAACGTTCAGTTCGTTACTTATCCCATTTTGGCAGTCATCGATTGGTGGTTCTCGAGGGTCTGTATCTGCATTTGACGGAACCTCCACCGTGGAACGAGATATCATCAAAGATGGATGAACTATGGCTCGTTACTGTGGATCCTGCTGTAGCGCGAAGTAGACTTGTAAAAAGACACATGAAGAGTGACGTTGGTATGTATTAATTTCGGTATCAACGATGGTAGATGGAAGGGAGGAGGGTAAATGCATATTGTGGGATGGGAGAATGATATAGTAATCACTTTTCAGTTATCAACGCCTTGGTAAATATTTATTCGTTTCATTTCATTAGCATCGACCGAAGATGCGGCATTGCACAGAATAGATACCAATGACATGCCTAATGGTGAATTTCTTCTCAAGCACAGTGCTAGTCCTGATAGGATCGTACTAAGCATAGAGGAAGAAGGGCATGGAGTATGAAGCATTGTCAAGTGAGATCACATGTGAAACGCGCTAATGAAACATGACTTGGAAGCTTATCACATTTATAGATTGTCTCTAGTCTGTTAATGAGATCGTGCTTCGTAACTTGCTTTCCTAAAGCCCGTGTACGTTGAATTTATTGTTACATCGCTAAAGCGAAAGAATGTTTGGTAAAGTCTTACTTAAACACCAACGGAATTCTCGAATTTCTTCTGTTCGTTTTAGGGGGCAACTTTGAAAGGGCGGGTTCATTGTAGACCATTTGCGTTTTCTTTTTCCTACCCAACTTTGTTGACGGTTCTACATTGCCTTATTATTTCGTTAGCTCCAAAGATGTGATTCGACCGACGATTATTCTTGCACTTTGCGTAGAGTCACAGACAACAAACTTTTCAAGTCAATATAGCATGTAGAGCGATAACACCTGTACAGGATAAATCGTAAAATAATAGATTGATCGCGGAAGCTAATGAAGAAACGATTACCTTACAGTAAATATCTGGTTTTTGATCATAGATACTGCATGAAAAGAGCATACCGGATCTGAGATCATAAAGTACAATATATGAGAGCCAAACACATTCAGACGACCATTAGTAATTGTGCATTGGGTGTCAATTGATACCAGCGAGTACGTTGAGGGTACAATAAGAGTGGCAACTGGTCTCTCAATTTACTACTAATTGTCTTGACAGACTCTTCTCAAATCATTGAGATTATGCTTTGTTGATGATGTTCTCAATTAAAAATATTCAAGGAAAAACAATGTAAATTGAAGATGATAATGCACATCTCTCAAAACTGGTTGGTGCTTGTTTTGACGAAAACACTACGTTAATCCGAAGTTTATTGAAACCCAGAGTAGGAAATGAATCAATTAGCAGACATTTTGAGATATTATGTGTCTCTCCTATTATTATTAAGGAGTTAATAATCCCGATTTTTCGATTTCCCGCAGCATTTTAAATTTTAGATTTAACGCAGACAGGAAATTAGAATTGCTATTCTGGTTGTTTCATAGTAATAGCAACATCGAATGGAATTTTAAAAACGTTCGTATAAGTGCGTTTCCTGATAATAGTCTTGTGTCAGTGTTGGGGCCTGTCCCAGTTCAGAACCCAGACATTCGGTCCAACCATTCAGTGTCTCTTCCTTTACAATCATACCATTCCTCTGCCGAGCTGCACAACGTAAGAAAATTTACCCGTCTCAAAATTTCATATGCGCCAAAAGAATGTAACTATATATGGCAGTTCACTGTGTATTATACGCCAACAGAATTGGACATTAAGAGTAAATATTACAGGAAACCAAAAAAATTGGTTATAATATCCGGATAAATAATAATCGGTTGTTTGCATAATTAACGCATATTTTAATTTAATATTGATGTTTGTTGGCAAATAAAAGAAATATTGCCGCTTTAAATCTTGATTGTCTGTTAACAACGAAAACGTCGTTTGTATGAAAGTGCCCTGTATCTACGCATCTATAAATAGCACGTCCGAAACGTGTCATGGCCTTTCTGTTCAGAAGCACTAGTTGGTTTTACATTGGAAATTAAGTATCGGATCTCTAAATGCTGGTTATAATTAAGCCGTTTTGGATATCTATTTCCAAAACGATCTTCCACTGGGAATAAAGATGTCATAGACCGTAGAGCAGCATTAGTGATCTACTGCGTCTCAGCATTCGAAAATTTCCAATTCAGGTATTATAGTGAAGCCACATATACGTCATTCTGTTATCAGGCTGCGGATGACTGCGTTTAACCCACTGTTTATTATCATGTTAAAAATTAAAACCTTGTTCCATACAGCATATCGACCAAACAAACTTGGACAAGAAAAGAAAATAGACTTAAAAAAAAAAGAAAAAAAAAATCTTACACATACAAAGTAGTATAAGATAAAAGGCGAAATAAGTTAAAGAAGAAAAAAAGAAGCTAACTACGAGGATACCTGTTATCCCAAATAAATATCTTATCACATATTACTGTCCTTATTCATACCTTAAAGTAACATAAAAATAATAACCAAAATAATGTTCATTAATAATACCCGATTAAACACCAATTAATAAACCAACGTTATCCAAAAATAATACTATCAAGAAATATTAAACTCTTCCTATCCGCTTAGGAAAATTGCTCTGGATAAGTGCAATCGACGCGTGCTTTGGTGCATCGTTCGCACGGCCTCTCGCGATTGCACTTCTTCTTCGACTTTCTGCATCTATCGCATACATGTTGCGGTCTTGATAATTTTGAAGAAGCCTTGCCACCGCCACCGCCACCGCTACTCTCTATCTGCGGCTGTATTGACGTACTAGCCTGATCTGCCTGAGGGTCAATCTTTGTGAAGGTGCTCGCAGGCGATGTTGTCATACTGACCCTTCTCTGTTCCGAGTTGGCACTGTTTGATGTGTTAGACCTGGAGGGATTTGAAAACTCTGATGCGGCAGATGTAGTAGTACTGGATGTTCTAGCTCTCTTTTGTTTTTGTTGGAACATGCGCATCCAGGACGGTTTCTATAAAAAACATAATTAAGCGAACAAATAGGAAAATAATAAATTGTCAAGAAAGTGTTTTACCGAGAAGAAAAAGGGAAAATGGGGGAAAAAGAAAAACAAGGTAAAGGAAACGAAAAAGAGAGATTGAGGACGAAATAAAAAGGAGTATGATTAGAAAAAGGGCAAATAATAAAAAAATATTTATCTATCGAGGCTCGAGTCAGTGTCGTTTTCTGCTCCAGAAACTTACTCTTTTCCCCTGTTGAGGATCAGCTTCATCCTCAATCTCTCTTTTTACGGGTTGGGATGAAGTTTCAGTCTCCGCAAAAGCATTTAATTGTCCAATAGAGGCACTAACCGGTGTGAATATTCTCGTACGATCCACAATAGTATAACTATTTTCGTTTGCAAGGGAATCAAAGGTGCCCGTAATAATGTTACCGTTGGGGTCTTGCAAAGAGAATCTGTCCAAATCGAATGCTTTTTCGAGCTCTTCTCTGATATCTGCTTTAGAATCTGTTGATACAAATCTAAACTGTTCTCTTCGCGCTCGACTTTGAGTCATAACAATTATGATTTTTTCCTGCACGATAGGTGGAAGCTGATAAGACATTTTGATAGACGAAGGGTTCGAGCGCAGGTAAAGTTTTTTGCTCTTAGCGAAAGGTATTTATATTTTAAATTGGGCAGCTCACAATGAGAATGATTTTATTTATATATACATATTGTGTGTCACCATTAACAAAATTAAGAGAGCCAAGTAAACTGGTGCATAATTAAGATTATCTAATATTAATATTGCGTAGTTAATCCCAACGAAGCTTTTCTGAGAACGGTAAGTTGTTTCTCCGAATGAATCAATTGGTTCGAGAAACTTTTTATATACCTTAAATACCTACCGCATGGCATGGTGATGTCTTCCGTACTCCGAGATCCAATAAGCTTTTGTTTGTTAAATCTAGCTGATCGAAAACTTCACATTGTTCAACATGAACCAAGTGCTGTACTTACTGGGCTTCTAATTAGGAGAACAAAGGTGCCGAATATGAGGTTTATTATTTTATTCTTGGAGAAAAATCATTCTTATTCAGGCGGATATTACGACGCAATTCTTCTCCAACCTTTTAATTGCTGCTCGACACTCGTTCTCTACATCAATTAACTGATGGGGGAACTGATAAATACACAAATGTTTCACACCTCATTCATATAATTAATGACAGATGAGATAGTGTGCATGACAATAAACTTCTATTTCTTCCAACAGTCATCATGTGTACTCCATCTAGTCGAGAATATTTTTCCGTCTCGAATCCCATACTAACACGTCAGTCTTGACTGGTAATAACAATTGCCACTTACGCAATTTCATTATTGCTTACTCGTAACAAGCAGATTCGTTTGGGCGAACTAAACAATCTAACAAAAGAGATACAATCGATCATGTGAAGAGACCAAAAACAGGGGGTGTCTGATTATAAACAGCGGCCGAGTCATTAACTTAAAACACAAGAATGCGATTCATGTAAAGCGTAAATCCGTTTCGATTCATTGCTAAATTTGTATCCATAATGGGGGGGAGGGGGGGGGGGGATTATTAAAAATAGTTGATTATATGAAGGGGATAAGCCGTTTACGATAACATTACACTTACAATAGACAACGTCAGGAACAAACGCCTCGTCCCAATATTCAAATATTTTGATTGGCCCAATCCAGACAAAGAGTAAACGATAATTATAATTGCTCTAAAGAACTCATATATGGAAATGATTGAGATTGAATGAAAATACCAGGCGTTCATTCGACCTCGGCTATGTCAACTCTTAACAATGAAAGTTTTGTTACCCAAGTTGCTTCTTGTTATCTTGTTTGACTTGAGGAAAACTTGTGGGAAAAGAAAAAGAGTTCTAGGCTGGAACAGTGCAGCGGGTCTTGTGATAACATCGAGCTATTGTGTTATTATCGTTAATGAGAATGTATATCCCTGCAATTAAACTTTTTAAAGTTATATGTAAGTAAGCGTGACGAGTTATTTAACGGGGTTTCATTACTAGTATAAACCATGCAAACGTTTATTTTCCTTCTCCTCTTAATAGAAAGTCTTGGTCTTTTTTGTCCACGAAACTGCTTATCTTGCAATAATACTTACGATGTAATAAAATCTGTTGTGTTAACTAAATACGACAATTAACTTGATTAAAGACGTTTATCTAACATTTTGCTAAGGTAGCCTATTAGCTCATAACAGTGGTAGGCGCCCTCAATAATGGTCTCGGTTGCCAAGATAAAATAACAAAAAAAAAGGGTGTGATTAGATATCATTCAATGTTCTTCGAGTTGATTGCACTTGATAGCAAATTATCAGAAACAAAGAAAAGAAAATTGAGGAAACAAAGTGTCTAGAGTAGCATTCCATTCGCATGCAATACGGTATAATAATTTACTGACATGCCATCATCACTTATTCATATGATATCATTTATTTAGAAAATAGATTATAAACGTTCTTAACTATGGACGATATTAATTAATTGTTATTACGTCTGAGTACGATTGTTGTCTTCAAATCTCATTGTTTTACTACAACCTAAAATGGCAGGGTCCCCTTTGAATGATAGGAATAGTGATAATTGGTACGTTCGAGGTGCCTAAAATGTTAATTTTGAACAATTGGGACGAATAGCCGAGTCACATTCTGACTCATACGGAGTCGCTCCGGGATTATTTGATTAGTCTGAATAAGAAATCACACGAATTTAATTACAATGAAGAAGCCTTCTTAGAAACTAACCGTCTTCTTATTAATATACGTAATGACGTCAATTTGACTAAATTTTATGTAATATTCATCTTTATAATGCCAACATGTATCATACGGTACTTCCCAAGCTAAAGTGTACTTTCGCAAACTTGAATAATTACAACCGTTGGTAAGGCCGCAAGTCTGAATTGGATAGTCAAACTTCACACAATGCTTCGAGGCAGTTTTCCGTGGTGGAACGCTATTACTATTACAGCCAATCATATGAACGGGGACACCGATCACGCAATTTCTTTGGTATATTATTTTGTTATTTATAAAGCTTTTAATTATATGCAATTTTATTGTTATTGATTAATGACACAATCTATAATGTAGAAACATATGCAAGTAATGTGCAGTACCCATGACATTATCACTCCCCTCTCTTTTTGATTCTATTGATATTCAAGAAACATATAACAGTTGCCACTATCATCGTACGTTCCAATTTCGTATGGTCCCAACAACTCTTCAACCATCGCATCCAGTTTGTCTTGTAAACTGTCCATGTGTGCTTTCTTAAACAATTCGTGTAACTTTTTCCATACTACAGAAGGCGGTTGAAGGGGAAGGATGCATATTTCAGCAAGACCGTTCTTTAAGACGCGCGCCCCTGACGGGGACGTTTGAATATTCAGAGTATCGAGAGATAGGCTAGAGATCGTTTCAAAGTATCTGCATCTCGCTTCAATAAGCTTGTTACGTGTTTGATTTGACAAATCCACGGGAAGAGAGTTTGTGAATACAAGTCCAATATCATCTAGAACGTACTTGGAAGACTCTTTGTACAAAAATGAGAACGTGCTTCTATGCTGATCAGAAAGACTAAAAGCAGTTAAAGCCCGATCAGCAAGACTAAGCATGTCCAATGCTCGATCCAGAAAATTCGCTTCGAGGAACCGAAGACAATACTCGGTCAGGTTCATCATGATGTATTTGTCGGCAATCGATAATAAATATGATAGTTTGGACCAGGATATGTCGAGAATCGTATGTGGGTAGATGAACGTTAATATGTCGTTGAATTCGTCAGCAGTCATGTCTGTGATTACTACCGAGTCGATTGGCTTGGCGTTATCCAAAGGCCCGTCCTGGGAAACTTTGCAAGCGAACATTGACCTGAACATCTCGGACGCAAGTTTGAGAAGCAGTTTGTGTACGCGAAATTCCGTCTTTTCTACGATGATCAGCAGATCTCCGTCATCGTAGTAATGAACGTCGCTTCTCTGATTAGGTGTTTCTGCCTTTGGGTCGACGCTCATTTCTTGGATCCGCTGTGAGTCTACTGTGATACGGTAGAGTAGCAGGGGTTTTGGGTTTATATAGTTGCTGGACACAAAGCCGCGGGCGTGTCCGCTAAAGTTTTATGTGTTCAAAGTACAGATCGAACGTAGTTCGTTGTTGACTAATACACAACAAAATAATCAAACAACGTCCGTCGACAACAAATATAAACAAGGGCGAACCATTTCAGGGGGTTCAGAATTGTTAAGCGAACATATAATATTGACAATAACAGGCAAGGGACTCTTCAGTATCCTGCGGCTGCGGCGCAACATACTCTTGGTTTATGCTTCATTGTCTCATCCCACGAACTTTTAGTGGCCAATTGCTGTAATTTATAGCCCCCAATCACAACACGAGCTCCGGACCCCCAGTTCCTTGTAATAGTACAGTCAGGACTTCTACCAAAAATGGTAATCGATTCTAGAATCATCTTCTTGAATTTGATTGGCTCTTACTCATGCTTTTCAATTGAATTTTGTCAAATTTTTACGATATCGACCACGATTGATAAACCTCCTCTCTCATAATCACGCAAGCTTTTCCCATAATCACGCCCCTCAGAAAAGTTGTATAAGACTTGAAAATACGGTAAATTTACAGGAAATTGGATTCGTTGGTCAGCTAAACTATATATCTCATACCACCTACATACTCTAGCAAGAAAATGTCGCAATCACAATCACAAGTAACTGCACCAAAGCAAAAAGCCAGAGAATTTCCTTGTCTATTTGTTGGCTTAGTTGAGAAATACGGTGAAGTTGGACTAAAGTCCTGTGAGACGAAGGAATCGCAAGTATGGCAATATGCTAGTGGTGGTCAAGTCTTGCACAGTATCATGATTTTATGCCAGACCTCCAACCTCTTACTCCATTTGTGAAAAGCATTATAACCAAATTATATCTACTAATTATTTTTATCAACAGCTTTTAGATGATTCTCTTATTGATTGTAACGATACTAATTCTTTTAAATCTAAGCAACGAAGCAACCCTTCAAAAACCCCAGTATGTATCAGATCTTACTAACATTATCAGTCAATTAAAGCAAGTGATAGAAGATCAAAGTTGGGAGATATCAGAATTGAAAAGCGTCTTAATGAGTATTGTGAAGAATTAACCCATACAAAGAAACTATACCAAGAACAACGGAAATCTTATTGAACAATGGAAATCGTGGTATTGCGACCAGGACAAGCGTGTGAAAGCTGTTGTTGATATCGAGCGACTTGAACAGAAGTCTTTACATGAAGACATTGAATTCCTGATTAGCGATAACAGTCAGTTTGCTTTAGAGAACTTATTATGGCTAAGTAGACGCAATCAAATTATCGTAAAGTTTATTCGAAACGTTAACTCACAATAATCTTAATACAGATTCTCCAAATAACGAGAAATTTACAAAAGGGCCATGGCTGTCGACTTATATATGGGTCCCGACATGGAAGATATGTGTCGGAAATGAATCTTGCGGCATCAGCTATCAAGTATTCAATAACACAGTCAAAATGATGATGAATATTGACAACCACATAACAAATTCAGGAAGTTATACCCGTTTCCAAAATTGTTTGACTGAATTATCAGATGTGGAGGAATCGCTACCAAAAGGCCTTTTATTTTTGGTATTTGACAATGAACAAAAAGGCCAGAAAAATTATCCCGATCGCGGACATAATACAGTGGTTTTTCACATCATTGCTAGTCTCGTTGCTTTTAATATGAGTTCGCAAAACAACATTCACCATTCTGACACTCCATGGTCCTTCAGTTCTCTTAATAGGTGCCAAATTCAATAAACCGTTTCGCTCTTCTATAAAAAATAGCCCTTTTTTGTATATATGAAAAATTATCCAATAAAAATGGTCCTTTTGGCATGGAAAATTTTTAGAAGTGTCCAGAATATTCTAAATCATGTTTCTATAACATATAAGGAATGATCGACACTACCCATATTTGGTAGAAGTCCTGACTGTAGTAACAAAATAACAGTTCCGGTTATCCAAGTACAAGCCACTAACAGCAAGTGCTGACATGCTATGCTGCTAAACTATTATTCCAATTCCTCATGTTTACTCTTAGTTTCGCTTTACTGGATAAATAATAACGTCAATTTGCACTCTAACTAACTTGTTCCTGATTTAAGTTACGCAGGCATACGTAAATACATACGCTGTCGCTCGCGGAATACTCGCCGATATGGTAATAATAAGTACCTATCACGGTTACTTGGATGAATTTTCAACAAACGATAAGTGAAGTCCAACTTGTCTCTGAATCAGAATACTCGTTATTATTTTTTCGAATAAGAATAAATTTCGACTTATCTTTAAATAGTTAATTAATAAACGTATCTGGGACACTTGTCAGGGTCACAACAATGCTGAGCAAGTTCCTTGTATCAGGTGGTCACATAATATAGGTCTGCAAAGATAGATTTAATCAAACTAACAGGTCTATAAAATAAAAATGTGAGTCCCACCTCAACAAGAAGGTACCGAAATGTTTTCCAATTAGAAATTTCTTTGCCACTGTTGAATAATGAAGGAGAGTTATCACGAGAAGCATGGCTCACGATATGTAAAACTAAATACTGACATATAAAGTATAAATCAACCCAAACGCAAGAGCAAATAATAAACGCGTCAAACTCAAGACTATTTTCCTTGTATGTTGTTGGTAGTGCCAGTAAACTTTAGGTAGCAGAACTATAAACTTTAAAAAGCGAGAAAAAACCGTTCGTGTTGTTGCCACAAGAGAGTAATAAAAACTCTAGCCATCATCAAAGATCAACTCAACGTTTCATTTTAGCTTAAAAGAGCTCGTATAATGAAAATGATTGAGAATGGGTGCTCATTCGACCTCGGCTAAATCAATGAAAGTTTTGTTGTCCTTCTTGAGACAATTTTTATGTGGAACGGAAACTTGAGAGAGTTCTAGGCTGGAACACTACAATAGGTCTTGAATTGATAACAGTGAGATGTTGTCAAAGTTTATATTATTATTGCTGAGAATTTATGTACATGAGTTATTTAAACAGGTTTCATATTTGTATAAATCATGCAAAGATTTATTTTCTTTCTCTTTTAACAGCAAGTCTTGGCTTTATTTTGTCCACAGACTGCTTACCTTGCAATACTATTTATGCACGTAATAATCTGCTGTATTAATGTGATCTAGGATTGCCAGACAAAAAAAGGGATAATACAGTAGATATAATTCAATGTTCTTACGAGTTACGTAATTACTCACAGGTACCACGGTAACAAACCGTATTAGAACGGAAGATGATGAATATGAAGCAGCAGAACGAATGCAAGACCAAACTCATTTTCTTTCGTATGCTGATCAATAACAGATCGCGAAGCATTCGCATATGAGAACCTGATAGTATAACTTACGAACCACGAATCTGAATCTTTACAAAACATGGCTACCCGGTAAGATTGTAGTCACACATTTTCTGTGGTATCAAAGCAAAAACGCGAATGGGTAAATTGGATATTAACTAGGCCTACAGAACATATCCGTCTTTATTCAGACGAAAATAACAGGTATAGAAAAAATCGCAAGTCGATTGATGGAATGCTTCTTCGATCCGAGATATTAATGTTGCAATTGGCTAGTATGGGTTGGGAATGGAGCACGATTTGAATGATCTTGGCTCATATAGGCAGCATACTTGTGTGGCAAATTTTGTTTGTGTTGTTGGATACTGTACAACTTGCATCGTTACGCGTGAAAGATGGCGATAGCTCTTCGAGGGATATAAGTGGATTGATTGATGGTTCATCACCCATCGATAAGCAGTGGAATATGAACTACGGCTTGGCTCTTAGAAGAATGTCAGAAGTTTTCTTCAATCGGAAGATTTCGAGAAGGCTGTTTTTATCGCATCTCTAGAACTCTTGGCTGCATTCTAATCGTGAAGTGGCTATCGCGTCCATCAAAGTTTTATCTAATATTCAAATGAAAGCAATCGCGACGAAGAGTTGAATAGAATAATAATCTTGTCTCTGCAGGGGTTATTTGAAAAAGAATTGGTTCGAGTATAATCACCCAGTCAGTGTACGTGTTGAAATTGACATCGAACAGAGTTACGCGTTTTCAGCATCAAACTCACTAACAGTTTCACACTTCAGGTGATCGTTCTCCATACTTACTTTTTACTAAGTAATTTACCTTATCTTACGCCGGCAAAGGCAAGCTAGCTAAATCAATTCCTCGTATATACGGTGGAATAAAATGATGAGATATGGATGAGATAATTAATTCCGGAGATATAGTGTAGAAAAAGAGTGTGGGGATGAGAATCTTGTAGTTAGTAGCGATAGAAACAAATAGATGTAGATATTGTTCGAAAGTGTGAGAGAGCAAAGAAATAACTTACGCTGGGACTCGCATTAAATGGCCCAGGATCCGTGTACTCCCATAGCATCATATGTTACAATCCTCTATAATTCCCCCAATGCTACGAATCTGATATTATTAATAGGGTTTTGTACACTTTGAGCATTAAACTTCTTGTATGCATCCTTAACTGTGGCTGTTCAAGCAATAAATTCAAGTTCGCGACACGAAAGTAGATCCGTAAGCTAAATATTGCAACTTTCTTTGATTTTTATGAGGGTTGGCACTTCAGTCACGGTATACTGGAAAACATCATCCAGAGTAATGCCTTAAGCACGCATGCAGAAGGAAATTCCTGGAGAATGCTTCCAAACATCTGACACAGGAAGTAATTGCCGTATGCCAGTAGGTATACACAACGCAAACCTGGACACTAGCATGCAGGTAATGCCTTGAACACGCATGCTCAAGGAAATTCTGCAGACCAGCACCAAACATCTAACGTAGGAAATCACGGCCATACGCCAGTAGGGAATGCGCGTGAAAGAGTTTTCGGATAGCAACACTAACACGTCTTGTTGATACTGTAATACGAAGGACTATGTAATGTGACACGATTGATTCATTCAGTTACACTTGTGCTCCGGACTTACGATCAGCATCGATAAGCCACTATCAATTAAATATATTACGCGTACGAGATGAGTGGTGTTCAGTACATAAAAGAATTATGTTCGAATCACTACTAAGGGATTACTTCGATAATAACCCACAGAAGGAATGGTCGATTATTAATGCCCTGCGATACATAGAGTCAAAAACCGAACTATTGTCTTCAGATACAATCAATATTTTCAAGGATGATATGTATTCGTTACTACAAAGTTTGAGTGATAAACGCTATGTGCACGAGTTTGCCAAGAAGAAGGCGAAGAAAATTCTGGCAAACTATGATAAATCATTTTCTTCAGGTGATATAAAACGTTTTATCGATGAAATTGAGCTAAAAAATGAAAAAAAGGAATTTCAAATATCGATAAGTCGAAGAGTTACATCCGCAAGTACATTAAAGGCACTGGAGGTGAGTCTTAAGGCAAACTTGAGAATAAAATATCGTAATAGTCTTACTGACAATCCCATTAGGAGCATCGTGAGGACAGAATAGCAATCGGAGATATGCGCAACGCAGAAAGCACAACATCAACCGTCGAATTTGACTCTGAAAGGAAATATGAAGAGCTTGCGAAAGAAATAATGGATAGAGATGAGGTTTGTTGATATCATTATGTCAACACAAATTGTATTTTGTCTCAATTATGTCTGTTTATCCTTCATCTCATCTCTTCTCAAGAATGGTCAAATTGTATCTGAAGCTGCACAAGAGTCAGGTGATTTCAGTGCGCAAAGTTACGATCAAGAAGATCAAGAAACAAATGGCAACAAGCTTGATGAAATTGTTGTAACCAAGGTAATAAATACACTGAATACGTTGAAGTCATTTTATAGATAATATCTGATAATTTTCAATGACAATACAGATATCGGCCTTACTTTTCTCGAACCTTTCTCTTGAAAGAATTTGGACAAAAGTAATGGAGCGATTGAAGAGAGATGGTTTGCGAGTACAGTACGTTATTGCGATTACACATTTTTTTATAATAATGTGTGCTAACTATTACATAATTTCAGGTCTATTGAATCACGAATTATAGATCTTTCAAATTGGACCAAAGTTGAATGGAATAGGATTTTAAAAGTATCAGACTACTCGCAATTATTTATCAAATCAAGAAAGAAGTTGTGCAAAGACAAAATTGATGAGAATGTACGAAAATTACTTCACAATGGAACTGGTAAAATGGTAAGTAATTTTCATCTATTACTATGTGGTTGCTTACTTTCAATGGTTATTCAAATGTTATTGTTACATTTTTGTAGCAGTCATTATCAGACCTAAAATTATGGAAAGATAAGTTTACAAATTTGGAACCATCTGAAGATGCGAAAATAACTGTTGGTATTATTGAGTTTTTGTAAGTATTTGGATGTACAGGTTTGACGGGATAACAACAGAAACAATTATATTTTAATACTTACTGGCTTTCATTTAGCTGTCTCTGTTTACGAAGGGAGATCAATATCTTAACTACAAAACACCGAGAACGGGATTATGTTGTTAAGATTCTTAGTCCAATAATTGGATTTCTAATTGAAGAATTCAACATTGGTACTTTTGAACTTAATTGGTATGTGATCTGTTACATTATTATTAAACAGCTTGCTAATAATACCTAACGTTTAATGTATAACTGATTTGTCTAGGATTGAAAAGGATTCTCGTAGTGTTACTCGTCGAAAACGAAAAGCTTTACATGAAATGTACACAACACTAGACGCACCAACAAAAAAAGTGGATTTAATTATCCTATTGCGAAGTTATCAAATAGAATTACTACCTTTGGAAGCTGGAAATACTGAAGGGCCCATGGATGATACAAAATTTCGAGAGGATCATTCAAAAATGAAGGTGATGATGAAAGATTTTTTGGATGCATTTTGGAGTAGTTTACATTTTAGAAAAGACGAACTTAAAGAAGTCTATATAATGGGCATTCAAGTAACGGGTATTTAAAAGTATATTTTAATTATTCATTGTGATTTAAGTTTTTTCGCCTAATATTAATACTAAATATAAAATTCTCCTATATTGTATAGGCAATAAATGGACTATTCATTCTCTCACATATGATGATTCAGTAAACTTTTATTTTTTCACTGAGATGGCTACATTAACATTACCAACAACACTATCTGATATGGAAGGTCTCTTACCAGGTTTTTTGGAAAACCTTCTTGCACTAAGAGTACGTAAATTACATGTGATGAATTTTCTCCGTCAAATCATAATGTTTACATATTAATATTAATAACTGCGTGTTTCTTATATAGCATACTCTAATAGATTTAGCTACAATGATTCAAAAGATTGCCCAACAAAAACTTACTACACCATCTCCACCTTCCTCACCATTGCATGAGACATCAGATACTCCGTCTATAAAAAAGCAGAAGACAGATTCTTTTTCTATTTTAGACAATTTATATGACTAATACTCGTTTTAATCATTAATGATAAACAAATAAAATAGATCCATTATTGCCAGAATTATGACATAACATTTCATATTAATATACTAATACAATTATTGTGGCTAAATATTGTTACGGCAGTCCATGATCAACATTAGTTTTAGTATAGTATACTAATTATAATACGTATGTTTGGCCAACAAAATATTATATTGCGAAGGCAGTTAGAGGAGATAGAAAGACGATTACAACAATGCCAAACGGATAAAGGATTATTAGAAGAATATAATTAATAATCGAGATCGACTCTTTGATAGATATTACAAAACATTCAAGGATCGTCATGTCGAGTGAAAAAATAGGGAGCGCAATTCACAGCAATTAATTTTGAACAAATTTTTGCACTTCAGAATAATCTACCTATAAATATACAAACAAACATAGCAACAATCCCAGCACCAATATTTCAGGTGGTCATGATGAAGATATTGATATTCTATTAGTCGGTTATCAGCATATTAGTATTAGGGCATTTGTATGCAAGTAATGCAAAAATCCATAATGGTAAGATTGTCGCTATTGTTTTGAGCGAGCGGTTCCATTCCGGATATAATGTGCTCATGTTTACACTTTTAGGCCAATGCTTTTGAACACCTTCATATCACTAATACTACTGTACCATTCACTATTCACTATCTGTCAAAGTGTTTGATGAAGTACTATTACTATTAGCGAACACCTGGTTATTAGCAAATTATATATTAATGACTGTGGGAAATGGCGTAACTTTGTGTTTGCACTACGTCACAGCTTTGGCAATACTTATTCAGTTCTTGCAATGCCGAAACGAAATTCTTATTCAAAACTTCAGAAGTTGAGAATATGCCTAGGCCAGAAGCATACTTAGAAGGTTATGGACTTCAATTGATTCATCGCTCACGCATTACCGACATAAAGCCGACTCAAATGGACAATCTTTATTGCGCTATCCACCGTTACCCTCGCTATTATGATAAGAAGGCGATAATGTTGCTATTACTTGGAAATAGCAAAAAATGCACAGCAAAACTTGTGAGAGAGTTTGCTAAAAAACACTCACTTCCGAAACACGAGTACAACATTTCTGACGGTCGATTTAGACGATATTCCACATGGCTTGAGATGAGCAATAGCGGAATAAAAGGATTTACCGAGTACGAGGACAATTATTACATAGTTGCCGATAAACACTTGTACCATTATTATTCTCTATACGGATTCTGCCCCGCATGTGGAATACTCCGATATAGTCCCGTGTGGTGCATATGTGGACGTAAACAATTATCCAACGGATGGACTAGCAATAATAAGCAACTCGATGACTTTATCAAGAAGTCTCAATTACAAACTAAGTCAGCAAACGATGCCTATTTGGAATGGATTCCATTTGATTGTATTTATGATTCAGGAAATTCTAACATACATTTGTCTGGTCTATCTATTTCTTATTATAAAACACCTTTGTTTGATTATGATCTACCTGTTGCCGCTTATACACCTTTTAAATTGATCCCACTCGAGATAACAGACAAGACAAATGATTCATACTATGCTGAGGTAAACTATTCACTTACTTGTCATATTATTATTATGGAATAGTTTAAATAATTATTGATTGATTATTATGTTATCATTTCCACTAGTTATGTAATAATCATGCAGATATGCTTTCCACAGATGTTTGGGTTACCATTGGATTCACTTACCATGAACGTAAACGAAAGTATTGTCTAATAAAAGAACGAGATGAGATGGGATTATGTCTAGCATGTACAACACCATTTGCAAGAGCCAGGATATATGCATTCTGTTACGAATGTAAAGCACCACAACCTCTTAATTGGACGACTGGCAACAAGTCTTTGGATTCATTGATTATGGAATCATGGAGAAATGTGAAGGATGTATATGATGGTTATATACAATGGATTGACTATTCCCGACTGATGAATGTAAGAGAAACAACCCCATTACGCCATGGATGCAAATTAATTGCAGATTGGTTAGAATTGAGGACAAATGAATGGACAAAAGTGACGCTCAAGAAGATATTTGGCAATGCACCATTGTTTGATTTTCAGCAGGTGAATTATTTACATGTAAAATAATGCAAACAATATCAAGCATACATTGCAAGTTAAACTGATGGTTGTATTATTTACTCACATAGCTAATTAAGGAATATCCAAAGATATTAACTCCTGAGAATATGTTAATTGTTGGAATCACTCAAGAACCATGTACTCGGAATTATTATTTAATTTTCCGTCATGAAATACGTCCAGTATTGGGCAAAATTATAAGACGTTGTGGATATATACAGTATCTGGAATATGACGACTTTGATGAACTTAGAGAGATTGGATCAGGTAATTACAAAACGGTTTATACTGCCAAGTATAAAAAGTATTTAGTGCACCATATTCCAGAAACTGTTGTACTCAAACGTTTTAAGAATTTCGATCAGACACTGGACTTATTTATTTCCGAGGTAAGCATTTTTTATATGCCGATTAGTACTAACTATAACATGGTATTTGATCCGACTGTGTATTTGTTTATTCATTTACTTAATAGGTCAGCAATCATGTCAAGACTTTGAACTATCGTTTTCTTCAAATTTATGGAATGACGCACAACCCAGAAACAGAAGACTGCATACTAGTCATGCAATATGTCAACAATGGTAGTCTTCTGTCTTATTTGGATCGGAACATCAACCAATTTACATGGAAGAAGAAATTGAACTGTTTGAAAAATATTGCGGATGATTTGTATAATATTCATATGCAATTAGTGCATTGCAATCTTCATGGCAGAAACATTGCTATGGATAATGATACTCCATTTATTTGCGATCTTGGCCTTTCTCAATCAGTGAATTCATACGAACAAAGTCCAAACATTCGAGGCGAATTAGCCTTTATTGCACCGGAAGTCTTTCGTACTCGTAAATTTACTCAAAAGTCAGATGTGTATTCGTTTGGTATTATCATGTATTTGGTTGCCACTGGCGAACCACCTTTTAGAGACAGGCAGTTCGATAGAAACTTAATACGCAACATTATGGGCGGACTGCGACCATCGATACCTGATTCCGCACCAAACGAATACAAGAGGCTTGCTGAACGATGTTATTGTGCAGATCCTGATAAGCGTCCAAGTGCAGAGTCACTTTACTGTAATCTCCGCGATCTTGTTAATAGGGTGGACAAGTATAAATCTAGCAGTAACGTATGGAATACTATCTATCATACCGATGTTAAACCGTTATCACGTCTCGGGAACGATTCTAGCAAGCTTAGAAATTTGTCCAAACAGGAGACTGCAGGTATGATCACATTATAAGTAATTTGGTTACGTGTTGATATTATTAAATAAAGTCAATTCACAATGTTAACATGGTTCATTGTTATTATTAGCGACTCAATAAACCTGTAATCATGATTTAGTCACGAATTAAAATTAAACAGGATACGTTCAACATAAATTGAGTTGAAATAATAAATTCGTTGCGAAGGTTGTCTATTAACCGAATAGTATCAAGAAAAAGTACATTCTTCTTATTGTTATTTTTTATTTTTATTTTTATTATTATCATTAACAAATAAATTCTTATTGTTAAAAATTACGCTCTACCTTATCTGTATGCGTATCTAGAGGAATGGCTGCCCGATCTCAGAATGCATGTCAAAATTACCAGTCTTTTATGAATGGGTTTTTTTCGTACAAAATTAATATTAAGTAACCTTTCTTGTGGTGATAATTGGCGCATTGTACTGTCAAATAAACGACAAATCGATGGATCAAATAACGAAATTTACTAGACGGTAGTTACATAATCACCTAAAGAAAACTAAAGTGTTAGAAGGTTGAGTATAACTACTGATATTCGATGAATTCGTCTGCAAGTAAGTCAATCTTTTAAGGCAATGCTCAGAAAATCACGTAATCGGAAGTCGCGATAGTTATACTGCCGAATATTAAATTCTCAACGATTTGCTCTCTTGCACACTATTCCTAACAAATCGAAGATCAAAAAGACGAATCAATTCTAAGTTTACGTATTTATAATTTACTCTAACCACCGCTATTCGCTAAAAGACGTTGCAATAAAACCAAGTTTAGATCTGCATATAACCATTATTATTTAGGAAATATAATACGAATAACACGAATTTGTAAATTCGCCATAATTATCCGTTTATATGCATTAACACAACTTTAAAAACGTAAATAAATCGCAAAAGCGCACTCAGGTTTCAAATTTTATCTGAGCATCTAAACGAAAATTGACAAAATTTTCTTCTTCAACAAAATAAGCTATTGGTCGACATTTAACCTCATAGACATCGATACGTCACTTGAAGAATTACTCCAATTTTCAGCTACAAATTGTAAGGCATATGCTTTAAAATTTGTAATTAAAACTTCAATTACAGTATGTTATTGGCTGTCAGATACAATCATAATAAAAAGATATCGTACATTATATTCTGTTGTCCGAGGCCGTATGCCGGACATATAATAATAATAGCAATAGATCAATAAGCTACATCCAGTTGCATACGCAATAAAGAAAATAAGTGTGAACTTAACAGACGTGTTTTAAAAGCTGTATACAAATTGTAATGTGCTAAGCCACTTTGCATCCAGCATACGAACAGTTTCTCCATTGTCACTTTGTCGTTAATACCGACATCTATTCTCTTCAAGCGTAGGCAGCAGTGAGTGAGTAATATGGACAGGCACAAAATATTACCAATTTTTGTGTTTTTTTTTGTAAAAATAAAAAACTCTTTTAAGATTAAAATCGTTACGAAGCGGCAGACAGTAATAAGTAGACGCGCCAATGAGAATACTGTAAAGGCTACAAGTTATACTCATAACAATTGTAATCGCACTGACGTCCGGGTTGCATTGGAACTTGCAAATATCCACTTTTCAAATCGAAACCGTAACTTTAAGGTGGAAAAAGGCTG